AACCATAAATCTAAGTTGCAAGCATCTTATTTACTGCCTTCAATCACTTTATTGTGCCTCATTCTTCATCTTTATTAGTATATTCAGTATGTCAATATTTTTACTTGGTGTCAGCTTGAACATGGATGTAGTTTTCAGCGTGTGAAGCTGCACAGATGCTGGGGATATTATATTCAAAAGTGTATCCTTACTTTTCATCCTCACTTTTGTGCCAACTAAAACGCGCTGCATGTTGGGGGAAAAACAGGGTTATATCCTACAGATATCCTACAGACTGAATCATCTACATTAAATTGCCCTCTCAATTCATCTGTGAGAATATGTCCTTGATAGAGAAGCTTTCAGAGTGAGGGGGGTTATTTTTTCTGTTGAACTTAAAAGTTTTGGGGAAACATTTTACGTGACAAAATTTAAAACGTCATTTTAGGAGTTGAGGCGGGAAATGTTTATAATACAAACACAGACATACGTTTAGCTGGAATAGTGCTAGTAGTAGGCAACACTATTCAAGAAAAAGCACTGTATCCTTCGTATACACCTGATAGCCTCACAGGGGCTCGTACTTCCTAGCAGAAGTCAAAGAAGATACACTAAAGTAACAACATTGCATCATTGGTTGCATTCTATGTTAATCTGAAAAATGCAGCAACTACAAAAACCAGCATGGATTTGTTCTCCTCCTGATATTTCTAAAGTTTGATTGAAGACACAAAATGCAATGGAATGGAAGTGATGTGTCCGGATGTCCTGCATTGGGTGCAGCCAAGCCAGCAGCGCCACCTGCTGTTTCCACCATGGCGTTGAGCACCGGAGGGAGAGAAGAGAGTGAGTGGTATTTGTGGAGTCACTATTCTATTTCGGAAACGGAAGTTAAGAGGTGGGCTGGCGCTACCTGGCTATGCTGATGGATGGGGTCTGAGGGCGAGAAAGAGAGAATGCCTGTGAGCTCTTTTGTATAGAAGCGGCTTTCAGCTAAAACCCCATAATCAAATATTCCCAACCTTCAAGGGATTTGGAATCTAAATCTAGATCTAAAATTGAATGTTGCAGCTGATCCCCACCTCTGTAATGGGCCAAACCAAAACCCTGGATCCAGACAGTCCCAAACTTTGTCAGAGAAAGGGGGTATCAAAATACAGATTTCAGATCTGAATTGTGTATCTCATTCTGGTCCTTCTCTAGATTTATATTCAAAAAGCACTGGTGACACACCACACATTTGTCTCCACTGGGATGAAGGAGAGGAAATGGAGGAACAATGTGCAATAAAGACAGCACAGTATATAATGGTTCAATCCTGTGTTTTCCAACAGGTTTAGTTCTCAGTTCTAATGTTCTCATTTTGTAATGTTATTTTCCATCATAGGAAACACTAAATATTCCAGAGAAGTAGGATTAAACCCTCTGTGTCATAACCTAATTTATCACCCCTCCCACCCACACAATATGTCACCGTTATCATCCAAAGCACATTTCTGAGTGCTTTCTCTAGCTTTCTCCATAGCTCATTGCACTTAGTATGAAATTGAAAATACACTGCAGCTGTGCAGAACAAAACAGACTGTCATTGACAAAGGCCCTGCGCACCAGAAATATGTTTTATTACAGGAAGAATAACTAAATCATTATAAATAAATATGCCAAGGATTTAAAAAGGCAGTGTTTGACAACAAAGTGGGGGGAATAGATTGGCAGTCTTTGTTATGGAGCATGATGGAATATCTGCACTGATTCATGACATCCTGTACTGGATTATAGTTGTTCCATAACTGGAGTTGGAATTATGTCACAAGACGCTGGCACTCAGTCACAGCAATTCCTCCCAGGTACACAATATGGTCATGACATTTTCATCATCGGAGCATTGCTACTCTTGGACAGATTCTCAAAAAATATATTTGATTAAAATTGTATGAGATGGTTACGACTGGTTTTCCCCCATATGTCCTTTCCCAACATTGACTTTTACCAAGATATTTCTGTGTAAACGGAGCTTTCCTATTTCTAAACTACTGCTTCCTCAATAGGTACTTTGTGATGTGCTTGTTTACACAGTGATAAAACTACCATTCCATAGTCCTTACTGAGGCCTTCTCTACTCTGCATTTCTAGCCAAACACATTTGTGTAGACATGACTGAGGCAGTGTGTTTTGGACTGGTGCAGTTTACCCTAGTTTAAAACTTACCTGATTCCACCAGCCTGATTCCATCAGCCTCCACCCCAAATCCCACTTTGCCTCCAGCATTTATAATGGTGTTAAATATATAAAAAGGTGTTTTTAATTTATAAGGAGGTCACACTCAGAGGCTTGCTATATGAAAGGGGTCACCAGTACAAAAGTTTGATAACCACTGATTTAGTGGGTTCTAAGAATAGGTAAGTTTAATATAATAGCAGGCAAACAGCCCAGATATACGTAGCCACTGAAGTCCCTGCAGGTGTGCTTGGCAGAGTTTTATGAACATTTTAATATGCAAATATGTCCTGATCAATGTGGCTTTGCAGTGCACATTTGCTGTCATTTTAGCAAAGGCATTTAATCTTAGTTAAGGAAATGGCATCTAATGTCTACTGAGAGTAAATCAATGATGGATGAACATGGCAAAGGGAAGCTATTGCCTGGAAAAGCAACATAATTTTTAAAGGACTTGAAACTAGAAGGTTATAACCTCAAGTTGTTTGCCAAGCTGTTGACCAATAGTAATCAGATTTTGAAATGATTTGGTCTGTTTTCGTCTGTTCATATGGTAATTTTATTGTATTTAAATCAGCCAGGAGAGTTACACAAAGGATGCATTTGACCCATTTTCTTTACTGCCCACAAGCAAATTAACATATTGAAACTGATTTTGTTTGTCTGTAAACAAGGCTAAACAAAAGAAGCCTGATCCTGAATACCTTATTCACACACATAATTCTTACTTACTGGAGTCATTCCATTGACTTCATTAGTACTATTCTAGTAAATAAAGATTGCTCCTGTAAGACAATTGAGACATTAACCCCTGAATTCTGTCATCTCTGTGTTGCAAGTTCAAATCCAGCCCACATTGCCATTTAGTGAAATGTGCTTTACAGGAATGTGATAAGAGCTAATCTCATACCAAGTACCTACAATTTTTGACTTGTTCTGCTCTGCGAGACAACAATGCCATGCAGATACCTTCAACCTATCATGTGAAATCATAACTCAGCTGGTATAGCCAGCAACCACACACCGGCAGCAGCGTTTTCACCTTCAGAAAATAGTTGAAACCTTAAGCCATACCAGGTCCTGTCTCCTGTATTTAAATATACATGTTAAACCTGGTAAACAGGAAGCAATAAATATGTTTAGCTGGGGCCAAGGGGGAAAACTTGATGAGAAGGAAGCAGGTAAGGTCTGCTCGTGCACATATCACTTGAGATTTTGTTGCCATCTGAGAGTTCAAGAAAAATCACTTAATACTATTTAGTGCATCATATCTAATTTGTTTATTTTTACTTTTGTAAAATTCACCTATTACCCTGTTCTGTGGGTATATATACAAATATTAGAATAACATTCATAATTTACTAATAGACAAATTAATTAGGTTTCAGAGTAGCAGCCGTGTTAGTCTGTATCCGCAAAAAGAACAGGAGTACTTGTGGCACCTTAGAGACTAACAAATTTATTAGAGCATAAGCTTTCGTGGGCTACTGCCCACTTCTTCGGATGCATAATTAATTAGGGTTTCACCCCAGGATATAGGTCTTTATCATTTCCATAATCACACTTTTCCCTCATAAAGATCTGAATAAGTGGATGGGATTTATACCATACAGTGCAGCTCAACAACACTTAGCCTGTCAAAAAAACAGGGGGAGTAAAGCAGTGTTGCCAACTCTTGCAATTTTATCATCAGTCTTGCAATATTTGGTGTTTTTCTTAAAGCCCTTTCCCCTCATGCTCCTGAAGTCATGTGATTATATGAGACAATCAGCTTTCATTTTTCTTAAAAGAAAGATTCTAACTCTTGCGAATTAAGAGAAAAGCTTGAAAATATGAACTGCAAAGACTCAAACTCCTAAAGGTAAATAAAAATAACATTTAAAAAAAAACAGCATGATTTTTAAGCCAGTCTCAAGATTTTTGAACACTTGGGGTTGGCAACAGAGAATAAATTTCAGACCCGAGCCTGCAACTGAAAATACCTTGTCAGCTAGGGTTGCCAGGCGTCCAGTTTTCGACCAGAACGCCCAGTCGAAAAGGGACCCTGGTGTGCACTAACCAGGCTGCTAAAACTCTGGTCGGTGGTGCAGCGGGGCTAAGGCAGGCTCCCTACCCTGCCTGCCCTGGCTCTGCATGGCTCCTGGAAACAGCCAGCATGTCCGGCTCCTAGGCAAAGGGGCTCTGTGCGCTGCCCTTGCCCCAAGCACCAGCTCCGCAGCTCCCATTGGCCAGGAACCGCGGCCAATGGGAGTTGTAAGGGCAGCACCTGTGGGGCGGGTGCAGGCAGCATGCAGAGCCCCCTGACCCGCCCCTCCGCCTAAGAGACAGACATTCCAGGAGCCATCTGAGGTAAGCGCCCAATTGGAGCCCACACCCTGAACCCCCTTCCTCATCCCAACTCCCTGCCCCAGCCCTGAACCCCCTCCCACACCTAAACTCCCTCCCAGAGCCTGCACTCCACACCCCCTCCTGAATCCCAACCTCCTGCCCCAGCCCTGAACCCCCTCCCACACCTAAACTCCCTCCCAGAGCCTGCACTCCACACCCCCTCCTGAATCCCAACCTCCTGCCCCAGCCCTGAGTCTCCTCCTGCACGCTGAACCCCAGAGCCCCCTCCTCCATCCCAAACCACTCATTTCTGGCCCCACCCCAGAGCCTGCACCCCCAGCCGGAGCCCACCTCAACCCCCTGCCCCAGCCCGGTGAAAGTGAGTGAGAATGGGGGAGAGAACGATGGAGGGAGTGGGGATAGAGTGAGCGGCGGTGGGGCCTTGGGGCAGGGCAAGGGTGTTCAGTTTTGTGTGATTAGAAAGTTGGCAACCCTATTGTCAGCAGCCAAGAGAGGTTTAAATGTAGAGGCTGTTATAAAGGTATCATACAAATTAGGAATGGAAAAGATCTATTAAATCTAGAGATAGATTTAAGCAGCAATTTATATCCAGAGTTTAACCTCCTCAAACTTCAGAGGCTTTTGGGTCCCTCCCTGGTTTTGCTTTGGCCCATCCCCCATTCCAGTTCAGGGCTGTTCCAGCCAGTTTATTTGCTGTTGTATATTTTCCCCATGATAAGTGACCTCACTTCCTGTTTATTTTGCATGTCAGTGTGCTTGAGAGGCAGGTTCTACAGACTGTTTTACCACTGTATAAAGGTTCTTGAATGATCTTTAGAAAAGCAAAAACATTATTGTAAATAAGGCACTTAAAACTAGCCACATTTGAATTCTTTAATTTAAGGAGATGGCCACAGGTAATATTTCCTAAAGAACACACTCTGGTGTATATGTAAAAAATATATATTTTTCTCACTCTCTGGTTCTTAAGTTCTTATATTTGTATAACACTAATTGATGCTCCAATTAAAATTGGTGTTGACTGATTAGCTGTCCTGTGTAAAAAGAACAGGAGTACTTGTGGCACCTTAGAGACTAACAAATTTATTTGAGCATAAGCTTTCGTGGGCTACAGCCCACTTCATTGGATGTCTGATGAAGTGGGCTGTAGCCCACGAAAGCTTATGCTCTAATAAATTTGTTAGTCTCTAAAGTGCCACAAATACTCCTGTTCTTTTTGCAGATACAGACTAACACGGCTGCTACTCTGAAACCTGTCCTGTGTAAGAATCCTGACATTTCACAGCTAACCTTCAGGATAGCTTAACCTCAAAATATGAAAATAAGACTGGCTGCTGCTTTCTCTCCTGCCTGTGACCTTGAGAGAGAAAGAAAATTCCCTCTACATCCAGTCTTACATAGAGATTTTTCTGATTCTGGCCATTCACCTGTAGGACCCCAGAAGGCATGCAGAAGCAGGAGATAACTGCATGAGAGCTGACACTGATATGAAGAAAGCAGGAAGGAGAGCTCTGACACAATCCAACCTAACACAGCAATGAGTAAACGTTTCAGATCTAAGCTCCCTGCAATCCCAGCCTGAAATAACAACAAGGAGTCTGGTGGCACCTTAAAGACTAACAGATTTATTTGGGCATAAGCGTTCGTGAGTAAAAACCTCACTTCTTCGGATGCATAGAGTGAAAGTTACAGATGCAGGCATTATAATAATTATATTGTTAGTCTTTAAGGTGCCACCAGACTCCTCGTTGTTTTTGTAGATACAGACTAACACGGCTACCCCCTGATACTTGACAGCCTGAAATATTCTTTCAGTGACTCTCGGGTTAGGAGAAAGGACTGTCTCCTTCCTCCCGAGGAGCAGAGTAATTATTTCTCATAGTCACAGGACCTGAAGAACTCTGACTCGAGCCTGGATTCTGCAGGCTGCAAATCACCCCATACTGACCTGCTCCTGTGCCAATGACGAAGCAAAATGTCTGTGTGTATGTCTGTGGGAGGGGAATGTTAGATCACTGATCCCAAGCATTATCTAATCCCCAGTCTACAGCTCCGTCCCCAAGCTGTGGGGAGAAAGGAAAGTGATCATCACGGGACTCAGCTGAGTCACAGCCATCTGACTTAGTTCCTTTAAGTAGTCCAAGAGGGTCCATCAGGGGGGTTCCAGAGGGCCGACATCAAATTGTGGGAAGATTTGATGTGTATATATTTCAAAGTTAGGAAAACTCTAGAAGGAGCATGCTGACATAAAAAAGAAAGACAGAGTGACTCAGCCTAGGTAGACCGGGAACCTCCTTTAGTTTTTGGCTTTATGCACAGTCCCTGCTGCAACTGATCTCAACTCTACTTCCAAGCTAACTGCAGTTCCCACATTTGAAGATCTCCCCCATTAAACTAATGTAGGTGGAACTGGTACCCCAAACACTAGCTCAACACCATGCAGAATACATCATGTCGTCATCCTTTTGTCCACATAAACCCTTTGGGGCAGGATTGTTTTGATACAAGAGTCCCTTCTCAGCTGAAAAAGTATTATTATTCCATGAGCATAAGCATTCTGCTTAGTGCTTTGCAAAGAAGAGATAGTACCTGAGCCGAGGAGTTTATAGTTTTGTACTATGTATAGTTTGGACACACACAGTACATGGTGAATGAGCCTGTGGTATAGGAATTGCCTGGTCACTTTAAAAAGGGCTTCCGAGTAGAAGGCAGTTTTGAAGAGGGATTTGAGGGAAGAAAAGAGGAAGATTGTAGGAAAGCTGAAATGCTGAGCCCCTTCTCTCCCTCACATAGCTCCAGAATTGTAGATTTTCATGGAATCAGACATGGGAAATCAGTAGTCAGAGCAGTCTTTTACAAAGGCTTCTAAACAAAACAAGTGTATCACAAAATTCTGTCCTATTAACCCCAGTCTTGTACACATATATACAGTACTTTACTCATCATCTGATTGACTGTAACCATTTTAAGACTTTTAAAAGCTCCCTCTGTCTCTTTTATTGTTTTCTGTTAGAGTTAATGCTTGTTCAAAAATGAAAACTGCAGCAATTTTCAGGGCAGGTGTCAACCGTATTTAATTACACTTCCTTCCTGGGCTTCCCCACTGAAACCTTTCATGACAGAAAAGTCAAAAATAGCATCCACAAGAAAACATAAGAAAAATGATCAAAGCTCATATGAACCCCAAGATCTCCAGGCCAACTTTAGCCATGGAAACTAAAGGAAAAAATATGTAAGCTGTGAAGCCAGAAATGTAAGGCCAAGGTTAATCATAGAAGCACAGACATAAGATCTTTTCAATTTTGATCATAATTCAGTCTAGTCCCAGTGCAGGATTGTTCCCTACAAAATACCTTCTAAATTAGTTCCCATACTTCAGAGATACAGTCAAAAAGTGCACAAACCTTAACATTTTCCTGTCTCTGGCCAAACATGACAAAGACCCTAGAAGGATCACTACTTTAAAAGCTCTTTGGAAGTTGTTCGATTAAATAACCATATGAAGTGGATAGGCAGAACAAGACAAATGTTAGATGAAGCCCAGTTTAACTTCCAAAGAGATTTAATCTCTCTCACATCCACCTATTTTTCTGAAACACTCTTTTTTTCTCCAAAAAGACGAGAATAGTCTAGAGGGAGAGAGGACCTTCTATTATAGAGAACATGAGGATTATTCACAGTAATAAGTGAATGTGTCAAACTCAGTTTAGATTCTTAGATGTCATCTTCAGGTAGCTGCGAAGTTCTCCACACATACACTTCTGTTCCTGTGGCAACAATTAAGTGTAGGGAAAGGGGGCTTTAGCTGGATCAGATCCCCTATGAGAAGCTCTGCAGAGCAGGAGAAAGGACTGTGATATGGGACACAGTTGAATTACAGACAGATAAGATAAGCAAATAACAGTACCCTTTATGAGGCCCCAGAGTGCAAATTCCAAATACTTGCCTTTGTTGTTATTTTTCAGCTAGGAAACTTCTGGAAGGAGCATGATGTCATAAACAGAAGACCTAACATGACTCAATACACACCAATCAGGACAGGCAAACTTCCTCTGGCTTTTGGCCACCTTTCATATTTGCTAACTGAGTTAAAGTTCACACTAGCCAAATATTAGATCTGCTTCTGTTTTTAATTTGGTGCAGCTCTTGCTTTTTATGGATGTATAAATTAATCTGGGAGACTGGAGCAACAGTATTTAGCACATCTGTGAGAGGGATGGAGAAATCCTTACATCCCAAAAGAACTCTATAGGACAAACATTTGTGGAGGGCGAATAGGAATGGAATACACCTCTCTTGCACTTGTTTAAATACTACCCAAATTTTTAATACCAAAAATTGTTAGTGTTTCTGTGTTTGAGGCCAGGTTAGTGCCAATAGAAAGTCAACTGATGTTCTGAGACCATTTCCTAGTAGGGACAAAGGTCCACCTTCACGAATAACACTAATTGGCACCATTGGCAGTGTCAGCACAGAGACAAAGGACAGAAAGTACATATAGGCCTACAGGTGAGCCTGCCAGGACATGACTGAGGTACGCTGGCAAAGACAGCGTGGAGAGGGGCATCTTTGTATTGCTGGTGGACATACTGTTTCTATTTTGTGGATAAACAGAAGACTTCAGTCTCCTGTAATGTCAAGTCCATAACTTTCCCCAACATTTTGAAATAATCCCAAATTTAAATTAGATGAAAAAAAGAGAGGGCTAGTGGATTATGTCTCTGTTTTGACCACAAACCCTTTCATGTTTAGGATCATTAGCCCCATGTACCTGTGTTTACAAACCTAGTAAAATGTTTCATTACAGACACAGCACTATTTATCTGCTCGTGTGTTTAAACAGTTCAAGCCAGATCAATGGCCATAAAACATTATTATCAAGCAACTCAAGTGATTCTTCCTAAGGCAAAAAGAGCAATTCTGTCTACTATAAAAATAAATATACTTTAAATAAAAAACATGTCATAATTAATTTAAAATTTACTTGTGTCTTCAAACATTTCATTGATTAACTGGGAAGGCTGAATATACTGCTGAGTTTAAAATATGTCTTTTTTTTTTATTTCTTCATCCTAAAAAAGAAATAAATCTTTCTCTTAACTTTAAAGAGCATTTAATTCATGACAAGGCCACTCAAGATTTCCCATTAGGTTAAGAACTATGTGTCACTAAAAATCGCAGGCCCTTAAGGTGAAATGAAATTAACACCAACTGGGAACCTAATACTCATTGATCCATCTTTAATTATACTTGGAAGATTCAGACAGCTTCTTCTGCCAGCTGGACTCTTATCTGACCTGATTAAGGATCCTGTCAACTGTATCTGATCTGCAAATATTGCTGCCAACAAACTTGGAAAGCCCACAAACATCCTTCTTGATGTCAGCAAGCAGCTATTTTTAGGTCCCAAAAATCCAGATCCAGGAGAGATTATTAGGACAATTACTTAGCTACACTTACTAAGAGGAGGGCAGGTATATGCTACCTTTTGAATATGAGGCAGATCTTGTTAATTAACACATTTGCCTTCTGATTATCAAAGAGTATGGATTTTGGAGCCCCATTCCACCAATCACTCCGTCCTGCCTATCATTGCTCGATAACATTATGGAAGCAACACAACCAGTCAGGGCTAAAGGGTCTCAGATGCCATGTCTACCACAGAGAGAGGTACAGTAACACTACGGTGTCTCAGTACTGAAGGTCCTTGGATATCATACTGTGGCATAGCAGAAGTTATGCAGTCATGTCTCCATACCAGAGGTTCTTGGATGCTGTGTTGTAAAATGACAGAAGCACCAATTTAATTTTAATTCCTCAGTGTTGTAGGTTCTTGAATGATGCACAGATGTTGTTGTTGTATTTAACTAACCAAGTTTAAAACCACTGACAAGCCTGAGATATCAAAACCAGCTGGCAGCTGCTGGAGGGTGCTGAAGATTTGTTAAATCACTTTCAGATTAACTGAATCATATTTCCATTACACGGAGACCTGGAGACATTAAATATTATCTGTAATCACTCATTCATTTGAAGCTCTTATACAGAGCTTTAGAGTTGTATATTTTGATTAAAAGAACCCAACACCCTCTCGCTTGTCTCCTACACTTGGAACCATTCATTCTTTTGTGCTGGGAGACAGATTTCCTCAGCACATCTATTGCCAAAAGTGGACTAGTTGAAATCTGAAGGTAGCATGGAGTTAAATAGCCCTGTTAAAGCAGAGTCAAATAAAAAGAAACTGCTGGCTTTGTTGAGAAGAGGCAAAAAAGACTGGGGTCTGGAAAGAGTATAAAAGGAAGAAAGATAAGAGAAAACCAGAAAGAGGGGAACACACATGAGGTGTACAAGGATAAAAAGGCACTGGAGGAAGAATAATATGAATACAGTTCTAATGTACAGATTTCTGAATCTTGCAACTTGTCTCACTCCCTGTTGGTATTCAAAACACTTCAGGAAGGGGCAAGAGTCCAACACACAGCAGAATCTGCTGTATTATATTACTTTTTGGGGTGAGCACAGTGGATTAAATAGCAAACACAAACTGTCCATTATAACTGTCTCGTGTTTCATCAACAATAGATTTACGATGGATGGTTAGTAATTTGTACTAGTACAAGTAAAACACTAATATAACATCACAAAAGGTGAACAAATAGTGTAAAGAGCGAGGCGTACCACAGGTGTTTAAAACGCATTTCTTCAGAGCAGTACCATGTCTATATTGTATTTGTACATTACCTAGCACAATGGGGCCCCAGTCCTGACCGGGTTCTTTGAATGCTGCCAGAACACAAATAATTACGTATTAACTCTTGTTATTGATGTTGTAGATAAAAACCATACTTTTCCTAAAATATTCTTTTTAATCCAATTGCATCTTTCTAAATTGTGCTTTAGACTCAATGGGCCAGATTCATCCCCAGTATATCTGTATTACCTTCAGTGGTTTTACACTAAGGATGAACTATTGGCCTTAGTGTGAACATCAGTTTAATTCAGTCCCAAGTCCTGTGGTCTTTCTGACCACCTATGGAGCCACTTGCAAGCAACACCTTCTGCGTTACCTACTGCTCTTGGGGGGGCCTGAACCCCACCCAAAACATCAGGTGGGCGTGGGCAGCTAGTGCCAGGCAGGCCTTCCTCACCTCCAGCTCCTCTGACTGGAGCAGAGGGGAAAGTGCTGAGTCACGGTTACCTATGGCTTGGACAAGGCGAGTTCCCTGTGGGCTGTCGCCACCCACTCGGGATCGGGTATCGCTACCTCCCAGTGGCGAGAGCCAAATACCTCCCTCTCCTCAAGCCCCACGCCAGGCTCTAGCCGCCTTTCCGCCCCTACCGTCCTTTCACCCTCCAGAGCTTCCCCCCCCCCAGTCTCCTCAGGCTCCAGACCCACATCTCCTCAGTCTCAAGACCCCCCCCCCGGTCTCCTCAGGCTTCAGACCACGCCCCCAAATCTAGATACCCCGCCCCACGGGGCGGGGCTCCTCAGGTTCAAGCCCTGGAGCCGAGCCCCCCCCCCCGCGCCCGGGCGCTGAGAAGGTGCCCGAGTCGCGCTGGGTCC